ATCAAAAAAAAAAAAGACTTAATTCAAAATGGATCATTTTAAAGGGTTATAAAAGTTTCTTGACATATTTTCCTGATTGTCCTGTCTGGAAACTTTTTGAACGGTCGTTAAAATGATGAATGATGAAAAACATTTGAATTACCTTGGCTTTTTCAATTTTTCCTTTAGCAAGAATGATGTCCAGGCCCTCGTTGGTCTTCACTTGACCCAGGACGTTGGGGTCAGATGGAGCAGATCCAACATGTTTCACATGTGGAACCTTGGCAGGTGTAGCCGGCAGCTGAGGAATCCGCGCGACAGCCGCCTTTTTGAACTCATGTTTCAGAGCTGTTACCAAGGCCTTAACGATGGTGTCGTCGTTGTTCACCAGATGTATCTTCTTCAGGCTGTCATCGTATCTCTCCTCGCAGTATTCCTTCACTGCTTTCATGATTGTTTTTACACACAAATCTAGAGGGAAGTCCAGGCTCTGGCTGATGACGGGCAGGGCCACAGAGCTGCAGGAGTGACTTTCAGCGAGTTCTAAACTTGATTTAACCGCTTTCTTTAGCTGTGCCACAGGCTTCTGAGGTGCAGCCGGGTCGAATTTGGGTCCCACAGCATGAATAACTTTTGAGCAGCAAAGACCCCCCATAGCATCAGTTATGACACAATCTCCGGGCTTGAGCTGCCCCCTGGAGCTTATTATTTTGTCACATTGAACCTGCAGTTCGGGCCCAGCGGTTTTGAGCAGCGCTGCGGCCAGACCGTTCACAAGCTTCAGGTCTTTGCCAGAGGAACTGACAACTGCATCCACTGGGTAACTGCACATGTCTGCGTTACAGACAGCTATTTCTACTCCGTCAGATGTCTGGATAACATACGCTGGTTTGGGCTCGTGGTACTTAGCCGCACTATCCTGTCCCGTCCTCCTAACGTCAACAAGGCGAACCAAGCAGCCAGTTTCAGTCATCAGTGTGGAGGTGTACATGGACTCTTTATCCTTAAAGAACTTCTTCATACCTGGCTTGGAGACTATGACAGTTTCAAAGCACAGCGAGCTGACCAAGTCTTCAACCAGGGTCTTGCAATGTGTGACACGAGCGCTAGAACCACTCAGACAGATGGCCTCCTCTCTGTAGGACACCAACACTGTGTCTTTTACTTCCTCCAGACGAGACGACTTCATTTTTTTAACAAACTCAACTAAGATGTTGGGCTTGACCACGATAGTTTCTTCAACGTTGGAATTCTGTTTTATGAAGTCCTCAAGCTCACTGCAAACCTTCACAACACTTTCCCTGAGGCCGGAGACGACAACCTGTTGACCAGTGGTGTGGACCTGGAGCCGTGGGAAGGATTTACTGTTGGTGTTTATTTGACTGAGCAGTTGGTTCCACTCGGGTTTTTTCATGATGTCACTGTCTTTAACAGGTATGTACCGAGACATGACGAGAGCGTGCACGTGCTCTTCGGCCTCCTCCAGAGATCTGTCAGAAAACGCCAGGAGCTGCACCGTCTGTGCACTGATATCAAATGCTGCGTTTATACCGTGAGATGTCAGCAGAGTGTCCGTGAGCTCCTCTTGGTTTTCGACCTGCAGCAAGCTGAGCACATGAGGATCCAGGTCTAGCTTCAACCGTTTTTGGCAAAGGATTGACTCACATATGACGTTCTGTGCTTGGGATATCTCATCACTGTAGCCAGTTAGTCTCAGTTCGGATCTTTCTCGCTGGTACGACATCTCCAGCTCGGGGTAGACGATCTGTATCTTGTCCCGAAGGCCGTCGTGACAGAGGAGGTGGAACAGGGACGGTGACATTTTAACTTTTTGGCTTCTGCTGAATTTCTGTCTCTGGGCCCTTTTGGCTATTTTATCTATGCCTTCACCAAGACTGTTCTCAAGACGGTTGACATCACTCTCAGGGCCGGCTACTAATAACACACCGCTAGCTTTGTCAGAGATCAAGGCAACATCTTCGTCCTTTATTATTTGCCTGACTTTCTCCTCAGACTCTTCCCAAACCTCTAACTCTGGCTGAAGCCTGATGGACTTAAACTTTGACACAGCTTGTACAAAGGCAGCCTTCACAGTACTCCTCCACTCCTTGATGATACTTTTAGCTTCATTTTGTTGTAGGATTGACGACATGGGACTTAAACATGCGGTGGACTCGTCGAGGTTGACGCTGCAGAAGCTTTTAGCCAAAGTGGAGTGAATGCTATGAGCTGCAGACGGATTGTCCGTCAAGTATCGCCACACAGCACTGTCAATGGGTTCAGAGACAGAAGCAGGGAGTCTCAGTTTGTCTTTGCCGTAAAGGGCCTGTCCCAAAGATTCATAGAAAGGAAAAACATTGACTTCTTTCTCTCCAATATGATGTTTTTTCTTCAAGATTTTCTGAGCAGCTAGGAAAAGGGATGCAGTGGAACCACTGTCAAATTATACATCAATACACAGATACACCCAGACACTTATATTTAACCTCTGTTACTACAGTTTTACCTCTATGGTCTTCCAAAGTGATGACGGCAGGAAGTTCACCCTCATTTATTTTGACCTTTTCCACATTCACGCCTTCATTCTCAAAATACAGGCACAGATGATCCTCTGTCATGTTTGGCAGGACTTCAACTGCTACCTGCTTTGTGACCTCCAGGGTGCGGACAGTCAGTTGCTTCCCCCTGAACCTTCTGTTTTCAGGACATCCTGTCACAAAGTCTGCACAGTCTGTGAAATAAATATAAAAAAAAAAACGTCAAGATGAACAGTATCCACCAAAATGCATCAACTCTATGAAGATACATTTTCAGTAGGAATATCCTATATTAACCTTTTGCCGAAATCCAAAATGCCGATATTGTCCAAATACTTCATTTATGATTCCGATATGAACTGATATCGATATAGGCCTGGTAATATTTATTTGTTCATCAGTACAAACCACTGGATGAGTTCCTGGCAGCAGTGTTCTGTGTACAATCCCCTGATTATTAACAGATTTTTAAAATGAGCTGCAATACTGCCATCTAGTGACGTTCACTGTACTATACAGCAGTTTATTCCTGTTTAGGAAATCCCCAATTTTGTATTTGTTTTATATTTCCATATTAATAATTCCCTTATTTGGATTGTTCACAAATAAAAACTGATATGTTCACTTAGAAATGTGGATATGTCTCGATTAATCTTTATTATGGCGATTCAATACAGCTACCTTTGGCATTCTGAAAAGACACCGCAGCAGAGGAGAGATCAGGAAAGATCTCCAGGGTGAACTTTGAGGAGTCCGACGGAGAATCTGGAGAATCCTTGGAAATGCATTCCACCAGCATTGCCAAAAACTCCTGACTCAAGTCATCTGGAATGTTTTCTATAAGAGCAACAGTGGAGCCCAACTCTTCCTCTGGGGTGTCGCCGCCTGTGTCTTCTGAACCCTGACCTCCATCATCACCTGGCTCTTTGTTGCCGATGGCAACGTCAGCTGCTGAGGGAGAGAGTGAAGAGAAAGAAAAATTCAAATGATTAAAGTTTTCACTGAACTCTCTCTTCAAACAACCATTGCTCCCAAATATGACTGGTATTAATTTTCATTTATAGTCTCTCTTCAAACAACCATTGCTCCCAAGTATGACTGGTATTCATTTTTACTTACGTTTTTTGTTGCTGCTATCGGTCGGCGCTGGATCCTGTTTAAAAACAAAAATACATTTAATTGAAGTCAGACGAACTTTAGCTTTATTGTTGATTGACTGACTCAAATTGTGAGTCGCTTTGGATAAAAGCACCTGCTAAATGTATTGCAATGTAATGTAATATATATACAAATATATACACATATGTATATATATATACATATATTCGATATATATATATATATATACATATATTCGCATATATGTGTATGTATATATGTATGTATTTATATATAAATCAGAATCATCGAAAGTACAGGGTAAGTACATGTACACATATATATTTTTATGTGTGTGTGTACAAAGAACACAGGAAAAATAAGAAGTAGAAAAGTGTCGTCATAGTCCATAATGCAAGGACACCATTGCACATAAAAACCAGTGGCGCTCCCTAGAGGTGGCTATGTGTACCAACACACTTGCCACCCACACATACTGTATTTGAATGTCATGATTTGGAAATATGAAGCGGCGAGGTCTTGGTCCAGTACTGGTTCTAGAGTCTGGCAGCAGCAAGAATTGATTAAATTAGAAACACAAATATTTCTGTGACACAACCAGAACTAAATGCACAGTTTATATATCTATCCTGCTGACGAGCAGTTACTTCACTGACAGTGGATTTCCCCTTTAAGAGAAAGTGAAAGTAAATGTTTTGTGTCATTGTGTTTATGCTCCACACCTTAAAGTTCCATGGCCTGCACAATTCCTGTACATAAACCTTGTTCATATTTTGTATGATAAACAGACAAATGTGAACAAAAGTACGTTGTTTACTAACCTGTATAGGCAAACGAACTGTCATTTTCAGACGAACACCCTCGAAGATGATTTCATGAGTTTCTTTTGACAGAACGTTCTTTTGGGCTACGGATAGAAATGATCGAATTAGACATTACGGGAAAAAATATATAAATTGATAAGGATATATACAATCTTATCTGCATGAACAAATCTACTAAATATTGTTTATAGTGGCCTGGGTGGGAAACAAAAAAAAAAAACAAACAAAAGAAAAACACAGGCACTTTTACAGACTTTGGTGATATGTTACTTTAAGCAAATTTAGATATTTATTTATTTATTTGGTACTTTTTAGGAGGCATTGCTGCGTGGTCATCGGGCGGACTTACCTTGTTGGTTGTGGAAGCGCACCGTCGCTGTCTGGCTGCCGCTCTCATGTTCCACCTCACACTCTCCTCCGTTGGATTTTTTACTTTGAAAATACTTGGTTAGTTTGGCTTTTAACCTCGGAATGCCGTGTTCCTCGAACTCAACGAGCACCGGATAGACACAAGTGTCCTCCATGGCGGCTGCCCCGATTCTGCTCGTTTGACTTTCAGTTTAGTTTTTCCTGAAAAGATAATAAAAAAAAATAGCTGTGGGAGGAGACGAGAGAGGCTGATGTTTACAGTTAGTTTGACTTTAGTTTTTCTTTTTCCGGTATATTCCGGCTACGGATGGTGAGTATTTGGCACTTTTAACATACTGTAAATGAGTACATATACCCGGCTAAGTCGACGTAAGACCACGGGCTACATTAACAGGATGTGACACCGACAACGTTGATGATTTATGCCGTGCGTTGATTTTAACCACTTATCAAGCGAGGGTAACAAAATGGCGCCGGTTAATTCGTGTCAATTAAATCTGCGTATCGAAACAATTTCTTCACTGTTTTAACCTCACATTATAAACGACATTAATATACAAGACGCCAGCAATAGAAGTCTGTGTTTGTAGAAACGGTTTGTTTTGAATGTGACATCTGCACAAATTATATAAAAAGAAATAACTGTAACGGTACCAGTTGGTGCAGTTGCGGTTGTTTTTTTAATATAATTTGTTAATACGTATTTGATTTGTGTTACAAAAGGGAAAAACCAAGTAACAACAAAAAACTACGTCATGGTAAGGCTCAGTAGGCTCCCTTCTGTTGAATGGAAGGGGCACACACTTAGGAACCTTTTACCTTATGATGTTCAACTGTTATAATTTGACATTTTCAATTTCATTTTTTAACTAATATCAGCTTTAATCTCTATAGCATATCTGTGTAGTTCCCATTATTAATAATTATTATAATTATCATTATTATTAATATTAACAATAATACAACCCTTTTTATTAGTCCATATCTATTTAGATTCTCAGTCATCCAGGTCACGGTCAAGGTTGAAGAGTTCAGATAGGGACGTCCAGTTGCCAAACAGAACTCTTCAACCTTTTAATAATTGTTTTGAAGGAAGTCAAAGTCAAGACTTCCACTCACCCTTGGGTTTTACATTTCTTTTTTCTGTAGTTTTGTGAGGGAACCATGGCTGGTAACGTTATTCCTCTTCAGGAACCATTTGCCAACATAAAGGGGCAGTTTTATTCCACTCTGAAGCAAGTCCTTCAGAATAAATTTGGGTGTCAGCCCATCTTCGAAGGTGTGGATTTTAAGGAATATTCTATCACAGCACAGGCAACTAACCCGAGTGTTATCCGAGAGAAAAGGTTCACTGGTGTACTTCCTGGAGGTGTTTTGCTGTCTGTGTGGAAGGACGATCTCATCAATGTCAGAGTTGATGCTGTTGTGAACGCTGCAAATACCCAGCTGGAGCACCACGGCGGGCTGGCTCAGTCCCTGTGTCTTGCCGGTGGTCCAAAGATCCAGTTTGAGAGTCGTTATTTCATAAAACGCAATGGAGAGTTGAACACAGGAGATGCAGTTGAAGGTACTGCTGGTCATTTACCCTGTAAAGCCCTCATCCATGCTGTAGGTCCTTGTCTGTCACCGTATCCTACATCGACTGAAGTTGCCCTCGCTGAGCCGCTGTTGAAGAAAGCTATCAAAAACGTTCTGAAGATTGTTGTAAAACAACAATTTAAGACTGTTGCCATCCCCGCCTTAAGCTCTGGAATTTTCAACTTCCCACGGGATCGATGTGCGGACATCATTGTGTCAACAGTGAAGCACTTCTGTCAAAACCCCAGGGGTATTGAGGAGATCCTCTTGGTGAACAACGATGAGCCCACTGTTTGGGAGATGGAGAGAGCGTGTCGTCAGCTGCTCACCTCCAACCAGCCCCTAACCTCCAACCAGCCCCTCACCTCCAACCAGCCCTTCACCTCCAACCAGCCCTTCACCTCCAACCAGCCCCTCACCTACAGCCAGGCAGTGGCTGATAAAAATGTCTCTCCTTCCCTACAGTTAGGGAGCGTTCTAATGACGCTGAAATGGGGTAAAATTGAGGAACAGAAGGTACAGTTCCTCCGTGGTTCACTCATATCTGTCAAGTCATTTGTGTTGTGTAGCAGATCTAATTTAAAATGTATTTTTTTATTGACTGGTTAATTATATGCTAACTTCCTCTTTCTGTGTCCTTCAGACAGATGTCATTGTCAACTCTGTCTCAGCAGACCGAGATTTTACTAAAGGTGCTATTTCCAGTGCCTTGTTAAATAAAGCAGGTTTTGCAATATGGGAAGAGCTGAAATTAGCGAAACAAAATGGATCAATCTTTGTGACATCAGGCCACGCCCTGCAGTGTAAACAGGTGTATCACACTTTATATATCTACAAGGGAGATCCTGCGGCACAACAGGTACTTTACACAAGTTCATGATGGGTGAACATCAAATACTCACGTTATGAACTGTAATACATGCACAGAAAACTAGGGATGTCCAATAATATCGGCCCAATATTAGCATAATTATGTAGTCTATCTGTAAGGATGGTTATTGGGTTTTTCCTCCAATAATTAAATCCCGATAGCGCAATGCCTATTAAATGACATGTGCCCTAAAAGGTTTTGGGGATAAACGGCTGTATATAAAAGTGAAAGTCACTAGATGGCAGCATTGCAGCTCATTTTATGAATCTATTTTAATAATCATTGGGATTGTATACAGAATTGTTTGTAGTTTTGTACAAATAAATAAATATTACCAGGCCTATAACAAGGTATTGGTTGATATTGGAATCGTGAGTTGGACAATATCGGCATATGGGATATCGGGACATCCCTACTTTTCACTCCACTGTGTGACCTCTCCTTTCTGATTCTGTGTTCATTCCCAGCTCCTGCGTGCCGCTGTGTTTGAATGTTTATGGATGGCGTTTTTATCCCAAATGAGATCTATTGCCTTTCCAGCCATCGGCACTGGAGGCCTTCAATTCAGCAACAGAGAGGTTGCCAGCATAATGGTCAGTACGGTGGCGGAGTATGCTTGGAATTCCCCAGAAGCCCTGAAAGTTGATTTCATCATTTTTCCATCGGACATGGACACGTATAAGGTTATAAAACAAAAAATATTTTTCTGTCAAAATGTCTGCTGAAAAGTCAAAGAACGAACAGAGGATTTAATCTGTTTATTAAGGAGCCAGGATGTGCACATCCTAATGTTGTGGTACTATAAATGTACAGTTTCTACTTCATATGAACTTATCAGCCCTGTGTCTAAGAGTGTCTGTTTCTTCCCAGGCCTTCGAGGAGGCAATGACATCTATCATTTCGGGGACATCAACCTCTACACCAGGTGACTATAAAACCATATATGTCCGCTGTTAACAAACTAGCTAGTTAGCCTAGCTAGTGAACAGTATCACTAAATACTATTGCGTATACTGTACTATATGCTGAGTTTAACTGAAGGTTGATAGAATTTAAGTGCTCCTCGCCCCCTTCCTAAACCCCTGCCCCCCATCACTCTCTTCCCCCCAGCCTTGGAGCAGGGAGGTCCTGTAAAACATGCACCATGCATCAGATTGAATGGACCATCTGACGAATCCAATCTGGAGGCCAAACGATGGCTGAACGACATTTTCACACACTCTGGCGTGGTCACCATCCGCAACAACTTCATCCAGCATTTTGGGGAAGAGGATTATACGAAGCTGTTCCTGAGCCATAAGAGCGTTTCCATCCAGGAGTCATTTGACAAAGGTCATACAGAGATGACGATAACGGGGAAACCATGTGACGTTGCGTATGCCGCTGTGCAGGTGGAGGCCATGTTATGCAGAATCCACAAGTCCTTTGTCCAGGAGGAGAGGAGGGCCATGTCTGTGATGACAAAGAAAAGGGTGACGTTCCAAAGAAAGACGGTTGATCATAACAACCCCACATACCTGAAAATGGAGTCTGATTTCATAAAGGAGGGTTTGTTCATTTTAAAGGTACAGAAAACCGATCGTTGAGCATCTTTTTTTATTAATGTTACTGACTCTGGACTAACTCTGACTGAATTGTGTGAAGGTGGAAAAAGTGGAAACACCGACCCTGCAGGTGTTATTTGACCTGAAGAAAACCCAGCTCCAGTGCTTGAGTTCTCAAAAAATGTTTCAGCTCGTACCTTCACAATTCTGTGACACGGTCTGCCAGATCGGATTTCACACAGAGTGTGCGCCACCTACAGGTACGACACTGTCAACAAGTCCTAACCCACCAAAAACCAGTAATTCCCAACCACTGTGCCGTAGTAGACTAGTCGTGACCTATCATTGGGTGTGCTGTGGACAATGATCCAATTTCACTTAATTAAGCTGAAAACTATTATTTATTTATTGCATATAATTTTTCTTTGCTCGTCAAAGCATGAAAGGCAGAACAATTAAATACTCTTCTGCTAGGTGGCAGCAGATGGCTATGAAAACTTAAAAAAAAAAAGATAATCAGAGCTGTTGGAGAAGATCTCTGTGAGTGTCTTTCTTCACTTCCTGCCAGTATATCATCGTTGTCTTCATCTAAACAAACAGATTTTAAACTAGAACATTATTATATTTCATTGCATATACTTTTTTGAGATTTTTTTTTTTTTTTGGTGGTGCGTCGCGGAGTTTTTACTGATGATATATAAGTGCAGTTGCCTAAAAAAGGTTGGGAAACACTTCCATAAATAAACAATAGAGGTCATCGCAAAACAGAGCCGTTGGACTGATAAAGGGTCTTAGTTATTAAAATTGAATTTTCTTGAAACGAAAATGTGTTTCAAGACTAACTGTCAGACTTTTTATTCTTCCACAGATCCAGCGTTTGGAGAGGGTATCTACTTCTCTGGAAGTGTGAGGAAGGCCTTGGAAGTCTGGAGGGAGAAGCATGAGGAGTACCTGTACTTTGTAGAGGCAGACGTTCTGACAGGAAGGTCCACTCCTGGCAGACCAGGTATCATTGAGCCGCCAGTCACTGACACCAACCCAAAAGTTCTGTTTGACAGTTTAAGCGGAGGACCAGAAGTCTCCGTAGTGTTCAGCACTTATCAAGCTGTGCCCAAGTACATTATCACGTGTAGTAACATAGACGAGTGATTCCCAACCACTGTGCCGTGAGAGAGCATTAGGTGTGCTGCAGAAAATTATCCAGTTTCACGGTAATCGGTTGGAAACTATTATTTTTTGCAAATACTTTTTCTTTGTATGTCAATGCATAGTGACAGACAGAACAATTAAATATTCCTTCACTAGATGGCAGCAGATGGCTACAAAAAATAGAGAAAAAAAGTTTACAAGGAAGATCTTCTTCAATTCCTGTAAGTATAACTGCATTGTTTTCAACTAAACAGGCAGACTTTGTAAAGTCACACTCAGTAAAATGTGAGTACATTTAAACTTAAGTATATTTATTTACTTTTTTTGTGAGATTTGAGATTTTTGTTTGGTGGTGTGCCGTGTGGTGTTTTAAATGAAACTCTGACCTAAACCTTCTGACTGTAGGTGTGAACATCGCTACAGTAGAGTCATGTAATGCATTCCAACCAACTCTGGTTGTTTTTTTTTTACAGATTTCTGTTTTTCTTTCATTGTAAACTGGGTATTCAACAGTCATCACTATGCCATCTCAAGTAGACTAATAGAAAATTCAGGATGTAGTAGTTAGAGGTGAAAAAGTACCTGTTACATGTTCAATATCAAAATAATAATAAAAAATCAGTACTGTGCAGAGGTTTTAGGCAGGTTTATGTCTGTATTGTATTGTCAGCTACATCCATGTAAAAGCAGAGAACCATAGGTTAGTTCTCAACAACAATCAAACTGTAGAAAACACAGCCTTTTTATAACCATCCAGGGGAGAGTGGTGCTGTGTTCTGCCAGACCAGGTATGGGCACTAGGAGGCAGACCTGTGTAAAACATTTGAATTTACATTCTTGAAATAGCTCCAAACAGAAACAGCAACAGCCATAATGACATACATAAATGACAATTCTCCAAAAATATCCACAAATAAATACTATATTTATTAAAGTTTTTACTGAGATCAGCAGCAACATTCTAAGCTGATATGTGTCGTAAAATGGAACTAAATACATTTTACATACGTACAGCAACGTTCAGACAAAATGTAATAAACGTGTTTTACTAAACAGCCTTAAAGTATATGCTGTACAAAAGACATTTAGTTCTAAAGATTAAAAAAAACAATAACAAATCAGAGAGCATAATAGTATGGAAAAAATAATATATTACTAAACTCTAAAAGTTTGGACCATTGACTTTTACTGGCGCTATTGGTCACAATCATCCGATGTATAGACAATGGGATCGGCTAGGACACAACTGGACTGGAGCACAGAGATGTTCTCACTGCAGAAACATCAACAGTCTAACACAACACAAGTAAAATACAACATGACGGAATCGAACCAACGTCACCGCTGTCCTCAACACAGCAGGGACACAGATTATACTAAAAAAAGATCTCATACCCTGATTATTAATCCACTTGGGGTTGTTGCCAGGACAACGGTCACACTTTGTGTTGGACCCGCAATGTGTTTGAGATTACATAGAGGGATTAAATCCCATCATCAAACAGCGAAACTTAATCTTCAAAAGGGTAGATGAGAGAAAAGCTCATTAGATCTGCTGTGGAAAAGAATAGGACAAATTAAGAATTGAGTCAATTCATGGGCCTGCTTATAGAAGAGCACAGTAGTACATATGCATATATATATATATATATACTGTGTATACAGTATATATATATATATACACATATATACAGTATATATATACATATATGTATATACATTTATGTATACATATATTAGTGGTTTGGTGTTGAGGGTCACATCTCATTAATTAAAACAATTAATAAAATAATAAAAACAACAACGGTCAGTGTAAATACAGTAATGCTTTAACATCCTGTCATCGTACAAAGCCCTGGTTTAAACGCTTTAAAAGCATTTGTTTTCCTAATCAATGTTTGTTACCAACTGTACGTGAGTGACCTCTTGACCGTCACAACTGATATGGGACACATGATGTCCACACTATGGCTATCAAAACAATCTAGACACACGTTGATTTCAGCTGCTCTCTTTAACCAACCACAGTGGTTCATGTTTGGACTGAAGTCAGACGGTCCAACCAGAAGTCCCTGCATATATTTCATGAATGATGGTACCTCCCCCCCTCTCCCCCCACTCAGGAGGACCTCATCACAGGAGTTAATTTAGTTGTGGGTGGTGCACCGGCCCTCACTGCTTATCTCACTTATCTCTGCAAATAAAGACGGCGCACGAGCCGCACCGCAGTTTAGAGCTGTTTTTTTTTTAACAGCTTTCAAAATTTGAATTCATAATTAAAAGCCGCAGCTTTGAGTCTTTGAGATACAGTAACGTTAACAACTTTCTTTGTCTCCGAGTCGCTGTAAGACTCCCACAAAGACAGCAGGCTGAAGTCGTGGTCACTCCGTGCACTCGGCGATCTCTGTTCCATCCACCAGCAGCGTGTGGACGATGCCGTCTCTCCGCTTCCCGCTGCTCACGGCCTTAACGCAGCAGTTGTGGTGTCCGAGCGTGAAATGCGTCTCCGTCCCATCGTCCACAAACTCGCCCTATAGGACGAAAAAACAACATCAAATCTATTATAGCTTCATTTTAAATTTCCATCGTTCGTTTTAGTTGCTAGTCTGAGGTTTTACTCACTGCAGTTTCAATTTTCTGTCCATTACACCACACGTCCATAGTGTCTTTCTCTGAAATGGAAAGAAACATCTTAAAAATTAAAATGTGATATTTTTTTAACTCTGACGCAACAGCTGAATATGTTGTTTTAACTCGTAGTAAATATTATAAATACTTATAACACTTCGAGCACAAAAGACCCAGGTGATTTGTACAGGACAACCGCGGAGATAAAGCTAAGCTAAGCTCTTAAACTGCTTTTACCCTCACGCCACCTCCAGTCACCCGTGAGAGCCGATCTGCCCCGTCGTACCCTGGGCAGATCACTTCTGTGGTGCAGTATGTAAATGACAGACGGAGGCGCTCACCCAGGACCACTCTGCAGTCGGTTCCATCCAGGTTTAGCACCCAGGTGCTGGTGACCTTTGACCTGTTCTCCATGTATTTCTTCAGACTCTTGCCGTTGATTTCCAACGTGTACTCGTAGGCAAACCCGCTGACCGCGTCGATGTTGATGGTGGCTTTGGTTTCTGAGTGGCCCACGTTGAACGTCTCCTTTCCCACCAGTTTGAACATCCAGTCCCGTCTCAGTACTTCCTGTGGCACATGATACAAACTTCTTCATTAACTGGTACTGTATTACCTACCATAACTAACTGTCCCGTGGTGACCTGTGGCTACCTGGGCTGCATCACCTGACATCTTGACCCACCTTTCCGTCGACGTAGATCACCCTCTTCCCGGTGGTCGTGCCATGTTCAAACTCTATCCTGTGGACTCCATCACTCAGCGCCACCTCCCAAACACCAGCCAGGTCATTGGACATCATCACTTTATCTGCTGGACACACCAACAGCTACATTCAGTGACGGGGTGAAAAGCATGGCTAATGCTGCTTTCTGCGCGCCCTTATTCGACGTTCGTTTTAATGCTCATAATGTCGGTGGAAATAAAATTGATTTTCTTAAAGCAAAATTATTGCAAATAAGCCGACTAACAACACGCGAGATGTCTAAACAGTGCGTGATGGGTAGCGACAACGTCATCGAATACGCTGCACAAGTTAGAAAGTGTTGCTGACCGTAAAGACATAACTTCCGGTTTAAGGAATTCCCTTTAGAAGTAAAAGCACGAAGCGCTTTAATCGCAAATAATGCAGTAATACACCTATATATTATGTGGGGGCTAAAAGATGAACCACCTTCCAAACACGTGACAGAGAACATCAATATCTGCTGGACACAACGGCTAAACAGATAAATGACTTCTAACATTGATCGTCGGAGCTAAAAATGTTTTAAATTAACATTGACAGCGACTCGGCCTTATGTTGTTCATTATGTAGAAGTGCAAAAGTGTAATTTATACAGGAGCTAAAATAACGATTAACGTAAACTATACTTAAACGTTTACTATGAGAAACGTAACAAACTACACAACACTTTCAAATTCGTGATTCATGGTTGTTATTATGTGGCTTCCGGTCTGGGGATCGCTTTAAAATTAAAAGCACATTCCATACAAACAGACACCGAGTGGTTTACTGTGTTCCTCCGCCGAATCTTGACTTCTTCCCAGAACGACATAAAGTTTTAACTTTTTTCCCGATTCGTATTTCGTTGATATTTGAGTTACAATTCTGGATTAACGACTAATGTAAACAGACAACGTTGCGCGTTTGCCTCTGGTGCGCTATTCGTCTTTTTTTAGTAGCTCGCTTTGCTAATGTAACCTTTTCCAAACGCAGACTTTTATGGTGAAACCAAATGTCTTAGTTCGACACCTGCTGTTTAAGGTAAGGATTACCTTCACGGTCCCGGAGTAGATTTCTTGTACTGAACAGATGAAGATGTTTTAAAGCTGTTTACTCACACACTGCTCCCACAGCTAGCTGTTAGCCTATCTGTGGCTATGTCGTTGTTATGGTAACGAGACACTCGCCTACGTATGGACCTCCGCTATAACCAATGGGAAGGCCAGAAAGAAAATAAAGCCGCAGGACACAGTTCTCGGCTCACACGTTACAACTGTTGAAGTATGTACAGTAGATACTGAAGTTTATGGACTTTTATTGTGGTAATGTGTGTCGACCTTCCTAATTTGTCAGGGAACCAAGTCGCACTTGTTGCTAAATGTGTAACGAGTCATTTTATTTTAGCAGCATAACTTTGTTTTATTTTTTATCCTCCGGTCAAATGAAGGAACTGTTCACGTGCTGTTTGTGGTGTAACTGCACGTTTGTTTACGTTACATCCACGAAGTTTCAACATGAGATTTTTTGTTCAGTGTTATTACAGTACTTTGACAATTTGTCCAGTAGAGGGCAGCAGCCCGTTGATTCTCATTTATGCATCGCAAGTGAGAGACATTTTGGTGTCACAATAATAATAATAATATTTAAATTAATTAATTATTATTTTTATTTATCTTCTTCTACATAACCCTTTTGAGAGACATTTTGGTGTCACAATAATAAGTTCTCTATAGAAATTATAGTATAGTACATAATATATTATGTGGTGATAAATGACAAAAACTAGATGATGTGGTTTTTGCTAACATTGTGTTAAATCATTTTTTTAATTATTATTTTTATTTATCTTCTACTACATAACCCTTTGAGCCAATCCCAGCCGTCTTTGGGTGAGGACGGTGTCCACACTGGACTGTTCTCTGGGTCACATGTACAGTAGAGAAAAAAAAACTGTGTTTTTGTGTCTCTGCAGGAGTAAAACAACCAGAGTGAAGGAATGTAAGCTCCTCCCACCGCAGATGTTCAACTGTTTGACTGTCATTACACCACAGGGCCCATGGGTGAATCCCAGTGCCCCCCCCCACCCAACCCCCGCCGCGGTCTATTCTTAACCCTTATCATTTCCATGTGCTCCAGCTGATCAATGCACAGAGCAGTGGAAACACAATGGAAAAAAAAAATATATATATATATATGGCTGTCAATCGATTACATTTCCAATCCGATTCTTCACATTTAGTCACAAATTTGAGCCACATTTTGCCCAAAAAAACCGTCCGGGCCAGTTGTTGTTTCTGGGTCAGTTCATGTCGGCGGCGCCATATTATCTTCTGTGAAAATGAGATGACACGATTATCTCCGCTGACCTTAAAAATAGCAGGGAGTGACCGAACGACAGCACGTCGCGTTGAGAGTGGCTGAAGAAAAAAACAAAGTGGTTCAAATGAAAGCATGTGCTGATGGTTAACAGAAGTGGGATTCTTCTGGGAAAAGTTGACGGCTGCTTTTCCACAAAAAGCTCTTTCTGCTCTTGGCTTTCATATGAAAGGTCTTCTTTTGCAGATGTTGTCTTGTTAGTAGCACATACTAAATCAAAAACTTCAAAAAGAGGCCTGTCTTTATTTTTCTTGTTTCTTGGTTTTTTTTTTAAGGATGGTCAGGTTGACCGAGACCCACCCGTTCACTCACTCGGTCTCTTTGTTTGAGTTTTGTCTGTGCGATGGCTGGAGATTAGTTTGTGGACAAACTTCTGTTAAAACCTGTCGTTAACCTGTGTTTAACCAGGATTAAAGTCGATGAGTTGTGCCTGAAAAACTGAAGAAAAAAAACCCAACCCTTTTATCACGTACACATCGTTTGATACGTATTTGGATTCAAGAGAACAATCGTCAACTATAGGATAAGATTTTATCATTCAGTGAGCGCTGTGAGATATGCTATGATGTGGTACGTCACGATACAATACGACACTGTTACGATATGATACAGTACAATATGTTATGGTGCGATACGATTTGATACAATATGGTGCGATGCGATGCGATGTGATACAATGTTACGATGCAATACGTTACAATACAAAATGATACAATGCGATGTCAGGATACGATACGTTTGCAATGCTATGCTACATGATAAGATTAAGATAGATATAGAATAGAATAGAATTACCTTCACTGTCACTGCAAAACACAACAGTACAGTGCAACCGTTTCATTTCATTTTTTTTTTAACATTTAGCGAGTACTGCAGTTAACAAGATGAGTTGATTAGAGTGCAGTAGTGTAGCAGTCAGACAGACGTGGACGTGGTTCTGTTTGGGAACCATCAGGTTGTTTGGCCAACGTGAGCAGAGTGGACACAGAGAGTGGACGTCCTCTGTTCGTCCTCCACATCAGCACTTCCTGACTCCACACCATGTGTTCATTGTACTGATGTGGTTCAAGACCTGGCGCAGAACAAAACCTCTTTAACGGGAGTCGCTCGGACACGATGTCGTCAATTACTTCTTACCTCGTCATTGTTGAAGTACACAGTTTTTTTACTAAGTGCCAACTGCTGCACAGCACTGATAATCTGAACGTACGGCGTCACTAAAAGTACATACAAATAGCGTGAAATTACACCTTTTTTTTACGTTTTGACAAACACATTTTCAAATGATATAAATGTGTTTTGTATCGACCACAGGTCTGGAAAACAGTTTGGATTAGTGAGATATTTTTAACAGTAATACAGTGGTGTTTTACCACAGTTCAACCCAAACAAGGGTGGTGTAGTACTCCTTTCTGTTGAAGTACTGTTAACTGTGTATATGACACACGGTGTGGTAACAGGAGCAGGGGGTGGAGGGTGTAGAGGAGATGATGGGGGGGGGATCTTTGTGCTTACTCAACGCACCACAGTTCTCTAAATACTTTTTTCCAAACGTCATCTGCATGTTTACATGGAAAACTATATTTCTTTGTATTTTCAAATACTTCACCTTCAGTCGTCACACCTTTGAACTCACCTCTTGAAGTGAAGTGTGTTTCGTGTTTAAGTATTTTTCTCATAAATACCTGAAGGTTGTTTCAGAGTGAACTCCAGTCCAAAAATACTTACATCGGGTTTTTTGACCCAGCCGTGAACACAGAACTCGTCTGAGGTTCTGCTCTCGATGACTTCAGTCTGAACTGGACCTGGATGAACGTGAGAGTTTCCTTCTTCTTTGACTTGAGATACGTTTTATAAACCAGTATCCAGCATTTTTTTTTCTTCCTCTCCTGTGGCCTGGTGATAAGAGACTTGGTTTTGTTATCAGAGGGTCACAGGTTCAAATCCTGTCCTGATGTTGTGTGGTGTGTGTGATTCCCTCACAGTTTGTCCAGGGATTGAACCCAACCCTGGACAAACGTTGACGTCTGTGTAATAACAAGGACACAAACACTGAAGTGTGACCTCGACACTGACGTCAATCCCGCCCTTAAAATTTTGTATCTATTTACTCATTTTGTTGAAGACCACCTGGATAATCTGGCAGCAGAAATGGGTCAGAACCAGATTAGTTTGAAAAACTGGCAAAAAAAAAGGCAAATTATCAATTTAACCTCGGGGTGCCACACCTTTTTTTTTAGTTTCTTAAACTGTTTGACATTCTCTCCAGAGTAAGAATTTCAGGGAAACGCCTTTCTTTGCAGATGACGATACATTTCTGAGTTCATGAAATTCAAAAGCCAACTGAATATTTAATCTAAATACAATTGTTTATTTTCATAAATCTCACATTCCCTTTGGAGTACCTTCAAGTACCCCGTGGTACTCGTACTTCTGTTTTGATTCCCCGGTGTCTTTAATTAGAACGATCTAATCTAATTATTTTCCCTGATGTTTCTGTTTCAGCTCTTGTCACAAAAAACATCATGTAATAAAAAAACAAACAGCTTTTCGGTACAGTCTGGAAGAGCAGTAACGTAAGGACATGGAAACAAGTGTGTGATGTAATCAGATCTTTTATGTTTCCTTTGAAGTAAAGAACAACTCCATGACATTAAGTTGTTCTCCCTCCGTTTTTCTGAAGATCGTGGAGTGAAGCTGTCAAGGATGAAGCGACGTCCATAACCGACCAGTCTAATCGTTCGTGCGCTCCGACAGAATGACAGGAACGTACGGTGGGAATCTGGAGAACCGTGTCCAGAACTATATCAAGAACTGGGAGATGAAGGTGAGAGAAGACCTGGAATGTTCCACGGCCATGCTCTTCCTCACCCACGACAAATACGGAAGAGCTCAAGTCAAAACCAAAATCGAGACCCTGCACGCGGTCCTTAATCTGCTCAACGGCAAAAATAAACCGCCGTTGTTCTCGCAACTCGCAGAAGAGAGGGACGTTCTCAAGCTGAGGCTGAAGGAGACCCAGGCCACTCTGCAGAAGACCAGCGCCAGCCTCTTCACCCACAAGAACATCATCTGGGAGTACAAGATCCAGCTCCTGGAGAACTACGCCAAGAAGAACCAGGACCAAGTGAGCGTAGAAACGGCTGCTCTGGTCAATCTCATGTACAAACTGAACGACGCCAGCAAGAAGATCGAGGAGCTGCAGGGGGCGGCGAAGGTGTTCGAGGTGCAGGTGAAGACCATAACTCAGGAGTTACAGAAGATCCAGCAGGAGGTGCAAGAGCACATGGACCTGTTTGATATTACCGTGAAAGAGGTCCGAGAGGAGACGAACAAGAGGATGGACCGAAGAAGGAACATGTTCTCCAGGTTGATCTCCAAATTCACATGAGAGTCGGGTCGAGCTCCGACCCACTTTGGAACTCCGACAGGTCGAGAACCTGAGCGTGGAAGATCTGAGGATTTATTAACCTCAATTGAGGAGATGGGAAAATAGACAGATGGGGGCGGTACAACGGTGGTTCCCATGCTTCCTGAAAAATCTAGATATGACAAATTTTCCAGTAATTGAAGAGGTGAAAGATAGTGAGAAAAAATGGATGAGAATGGTGAGAAGAGGAGCAGAGAAAGTGATACGTCCACGTTTATCACTTTGCATCTTTTGTTTATCTGTAACGCTGCGAAGTGTGATGACCTGACAGCTGCTGCTGCCGCCGCCGCTGCCTCCGCCCCCGCCTGTGCCCCCTGCAACACCACGCC